CCCAGTTCCCCCCCCTTTTTCTTTTTTTTTTTTGGTTTGCTAAAGGAGACTGGGAAAAGGAGCGCCCTCCCTCTGGAAGCAGCGGGGTTTGAGCCCTCGCCTGTGACGCAGTTTTGCTCGTAGATATAAATAAAAACATAAATATATATATATTATTATTATTGTTGTTGTTTTCGCGTTAAACCAGCGCCTTGCGCAGCGTGAGAGCTTTGCGACGAACTCGGCTCCGATTTCGCTTAAAACGATTAAAAATAAGCAGAAAAGTGCCGGAGCGGGTGGAATGGGGGGTCGGGGGCCGATTTTTGGGGCTGTTTCTCCCGTTTTCTGGCCGATGTCCCGGTGGGCGCCTCGAAACTCCTGTTTCAAAACTCCATCGGGAGGGGTGTGGGGGGAATGCTTTATTATTATTACTACTACTTTTAATTTAAAGCGGATTAAATTAGATTTTCCCCTCCTCCTCTTTTTCGTTATAAAAGCCGATTTTTGTTTAATTAAGTAAAGAAGCGGGGGGTGGGTTGGGAGGTTCTGGGGGGTGGGGGTGGTGTGGCAGCGAAGGGGTGCCCCCCCCTACGGGGGGTGCTCGGCGAGGGGTGCAAAGGGAAAAATAAACTAAAAATAGAGGAAAAAGGGAAAATAAATTAAAACAGGGGGAAAAAAGGCAAAGAAAAGTAAAAGTTGGTGTGGCCGGCGGGCAGCGTTGGGGGGGGCAGGCCCCCAAATCCGGGGGGGAGTGTGTGTGTCTCTCCTCCCCCAGCCTCCCTTTTCACCCTATTTTTGAATTTTTTTGGGGGGGCGGAGCCCGCGAGGAGGACACGGGACCCTCCCCCGCTCCCCCCCGGCCCTGAAAGGCCGCTTTGTCCGCGGCGGGGCCGTGGGAGAGGGCCCGGCGGCACTTCCCCCTCAGCCCCTCCCGGGCGGGATGAAGGATTTAACCCCCACAGATAATAAAGGGGGTCGCGGGGTGTTCCCCCCTCCTGCCCAGCCCCGCTCGGAGCGGGGGGACCCGCGGCCGCTCCCCCTCACCCGCCCGCCCGCGCCGGGCGGGAGCGCGGGGGGAGCCTCGAAACAGCAGCGGGAGCGCCGGGGGCGGGGCGAGCGGGGGGAGCCTGGAAACCGCCGCCTGTTTACCCGCCGCTGAGCGGCAGCCCGGCCAGCCAATGAGGAGGCGCGGACAGGCGGCGGGCCAGCCCCCGCCGCGCCGAGAACAATGCGTGTTTCATGGCCCCGCCGCCGCCGTTTTTCCCCTCCTCCCCTTCCCCCCCCCACTTCTTTCCCCTCCCTCCCGCCCCGCGCTCGCGTTCTCCCCCCCCTTTTTTTTTTTTTTTTTTTTTTT